ACTGCATGGAATATAGACACACAATCACAAAAACAAGATCTTCTTGAGGATAATGATGGTGCTATTGTGTTTCCAGCAAAGGACAACCAAGGAAGAGGCTCTCTGCATCCACTGGAAACTCTTCGCTGGGAAAGACACCTGGTCTCCAGCCGGGTGCACCGCTCTGCACACAAACAGCACTCACACCACCTTCTCCCTAGCTTCGCTCTCCTTATGGGTCCCATCGCAGTGGAGGTGTCTCACTCTCAGACTCAAATCAAAGGGCTGGACCCTGAGCCATTGGTGGCTTTGCCGGGGTAATGTCTGAGTAGGAACCTCAGGATCTCAGGGCCAAGGGGGCTGGGCTGGACTCACTGGTGATTCTCCCTTTGCTGTGTTACAGGAGAGTTACCCACTGACCATCGTCACCTATGTGGGAATGACCCTCTCCCTGCTGTGCCTCCTCCTTGCCATCCTCACCTTCCTCCTGTGCCGCTCCATCCGCAACATCAGCACCTCCCTCCACCTGCAGCTCTGCCTCTGCCTCTTCCTGGCCGACCTGCTCTTCCTCACCACGGTGACCTGCACCCGCAGTCAGGTATGGCCTGATTCTCCCCTGCTTTGTTCCTCCACTCTCAGCAGGGCTGGGGTGTGTAGCTTTGAACCCCTTTGTTCTTCCTGGACACGGGGAGGTTCCTGAGGGGGGATGTTTCCATCCCCTGTTAGGCCCCTTTACACTGGGCACAGTGGCCTCAGTCTCCCCATCCCCAGGAGTGTAGCCAGTTCTATCCCTATGTCACAGGAGAGGAATTGAGGCATAGGGAGACTAAGTGACTTGCCCACTATCACCCAGAGAATCTGTGGCAGGGCTGGGAACAGAACCAGGATCCCCTGAGCCCTGCTCCCCTGCTCTAACCACTAATCTCTGCTCCTTTCCTGCATCAGCAATGTGCAGTCGCAGGACCCTCCATAGACCGAGGAACCTGCCATCTCTGGCTCACGGAGCGCTATAACTGGATGTGCTAACAAGAATCCTGGTGTGACCCCCAGCAAGTCTCCTCCTTACACAGCATTTCCCTTCCCTGCCACCCTGTCCCTGCACTGAGATAATGTGCATCTTCTTCCTCCCTGCCTATAGCTGCCAGTTCAGCCTGGAGAGAGGCTTTCATTGGAGTTTCCTGGGTCCACTCTGTGCCATAATCCTGGTGGGTACCTCACAGAACCACAGGGCCCCATTCTCCTCTCACCTCTGCAACCCCACTGATTTCAGAGCAGCCAGGAGGAGAACATGGCCCATAAAACACAGTGAAAGACTGTTAGGTCCCACATGGCTCATCTGCTTTGGCTAGTCCTGGGATTAGTCCCTGTGCTGTATCCCCAGGCCAGAGCCTTTACTCAGGCACAGCTGCCACAGAAACCAGTGGGAGCTTACCTTGAGGACAGCAAGAGTTTGGTCTAGTCCAGTTACTGACCCAAGGAATGAGGAAGGGAAGGGCTGCACCATGCAATGTTTGATGGGGGAAAGGCCCTACATTGGGTGGAGTGAAGATGACAAAGTCCATGCAGTTTCTTCCCCAGGTCCTGGGGATGGGGAGATTAGTTACAGCCTGAAAGTGGCAGGGAAGAGCCTAAAGATAGGCGCTGGAAACTCTGACTCAGATCCTGCTCTCAGTTACACTGGTGTAAACTGACCCCAATGGAGGCGGGAGTCACTTCATTTTTAACTCTGAGCAGAATCTGGCCTCTGTGATCCCATTGATCCATCTCAGCCCTGGCTGTGCCAACAGCTCCATGCATGGGGAGGGACTGAGAGCTGCCAGAGGATATTACAGGAGAGGGGATGAGCGGTCCCTGGTTCTGCAGTGTTTGGATCGGTCCCCTGGGATCATTCTCTGCCTCAGATGGAGTCATCGGCCCCAGATGAAATGTTTTACAGGAAATATTTCCCGCTGCTTCCACAGATAAATGTGACGTTCTTTGCCCTGACCCTGTGGATCTTGAGAAACAGACTCTCCTCCCTCAGCACAGATGTGTCCACTCTCAAAGACCACAATTGAGAAGGCAACAAAGCAATCCTGGAGGGTCAGATGCCTTGGTTTGGAAGGTCCTTGGCCTGCGGAGGGAGTGAGAAATTGCAGGAGGGGAACAGCATATCTAGGATCCATGGGAACGAATTCCCAGTATGTTTGTATTGACAGTAACCCTGTCCCACACAGGAAAGCAGGGGTCGGTAGCTCCATCCCACTCTGCCCAGATCCTCCTACCCCATTGCTCTCCATAGGGCTATTGTAACGGGATCTCTCCATCTGCCTTTATCCAGGTTACTGACCTTTAAAGCAATCACCCAGCTCTTCATTCAGGGCTGCACATGGAGCCTTGGTCTCCTCCAAGTCGGCGCAGCAGTCACGGTCATGGTGTATTTATTCACCATCGTCAATAGCCTGCAGGGAGCCTTCATCTTCCTGGTACACTGTCTCCTCAATTGCCAGGTAACACCCATGCTTGTCATCACCCACCCAGCACCTTCACCGGCCTCGCGGTGGCCATGTCTGATCTTCTCAGCATTAGTTACATAGTGCAGTGACTGTTTCCCTCACTCTCCAGGTGAGAGAGGAGTACAGGAGATGGATCAAGGGATTCCGAACGTCCAGCACGAAATCTCAGACATCTGATCTATCCATGTCTGCTGTCCCCACCACCAGCACCAAGACGGCTAGAGGTCCTCTGCTCTGGTCCAGTACCAGCCTGTGAAAGAGTCATCTCTAGCTGGGTCTCATTACTGCTATAATGGTGCTTTGTCCCCTGAGTGAGCCAGGATTTGTTATAAGCCAGCTGGGAATGTCATTAAGAGTGTTAGTCAATCCCATCCGGATTGAGGGGTATCCTACATGTCTTACGCACCAGCACCCAATGCTCCTTTCCTAGCAGCTCCACATTCCCTCCCCTTGTCTCCACTGAGAACTCCGGTGGTCACTGATTGTCGACTGTGTGGGTGTTGTTGGCACTTGCAATGTAATGATCTGGACATATTGGATCAGGATTGTTTCCTGGGACTGAAACCTTGTCAGTCCAGATGGACCAGGCCCAGTGAGCAGTCAGCACTTTGAGGAATATCCTTTAGGTCCTTTACCCTTATTGAGTAAGGATCCGGGAGCTTCGGTTTTTGCCACCAATTTGTACATGACACTCACAGGTGCTTCAGACCCCATCATCATGTTGCTGCTTTTCTTTCCAGAAATGAAGAACATGGAGGAAAAGGGCAGATTCTTGTGTCTGACACACCTCCCTGCTCCAGTCCAGCAGCAGACACTGAAGCCTTTGCATGGAAGACAAAATTCCTGCTTTATTGAAAACAGCTGATAGCTGCTACTTGTTGGTTTATCTGTGTATGAGGTGGGAGCTGGGGAAGAGAGAGGACTCTGTCTCTGCTGAGCATGATAAGCCCTCTTAGAACCCCACCAGAAGCTGGACCAGTCCACATTTCTGACAGGAGGTGCATGTGAGGGAACAGACAATTCCCTGGAGTGTTAGTAGCAGGTACAGATGGAGCACGTTCACCATCATCATCAGCTAATATGTCAGAGGTGTTAGTCATGTAAAAGGAGAGATGTTTTGTTGGAGGCAGGAGGACAGTTTTATCCATAGGTCAGTTAAAGCAGGATGCACAGCTCCTGAGCTTGGAGGAAATCCATGAACCCATTAAGTTTGAATCTGATGAGGACGTCTGGTGAGGAGGCAGAACCTGGATCCACCACGAGGATGAGGCATGGCGCCAGGAGCACGTTTGCAATTGGGGAACCTTTTGCCCTTCACACGGATTGGCTCGGAGTCTTGGTTAGTCTTAACACACCCTCTCCACACCCAGAATCCATGGGGTGTCTGTGTGTATTTCAATATCATGTACTGCATACCCCTTCCACATATGGGGCAGATCTGCCATCCCACTCCACAGTCATAGCCACGTGACCATCCTGCAGCTCAAGCAGAGAGCTGAGACCTACATTAATCAACAGTTCATTGTGCAGCTACATCTCAACCCAGCCCCTATTACCGCCAAGGGCCAATGTGCAGTGAAAGAGGTGCAACTTAAATCTATTAAATCTATTTTTAGAAAAACATTAGGCCCTGAGCACACCTCCTTTTTGGAAGTTCACAGACACTTTTTCTGCAGCTCTTCCAAAGTGAGCAAGACCGCTGCGCTGCCTGATACCCTGAATCTACAGGGACCATTAGGCAACATCTCCTTAGAACGACAAAGCTGATTATCACCAGCTGAATATCTGAATGGTGCTGAATAGGAGAGATATGGCGAAAGTCCAACGTCTTAATCAAAAAACATCCTAAGGCAGCAGAACTGAATTTAGTTCCTGATTCTGCTACAGGCTCCCTATGTGACTTTAGCCAAGTCACCTGATCCCCTGTTTCCCCTCTGTCTAACAGGGGTAATAATCCTTCTGTTCTCCCATCTTGTGTACCTTGTCTACTTAGCTTGTAAGCTCTTTGGGACAGGGATTGTCTCTGACTATGTGTATGTACAGCACCAAGCATCATGGGACTGTACGTGCCCATATAATATAAATAAATACTGGTGAACAGAAGTGGTCTGACAGTCATTGCTCTCAGTTTGGAGAAGTTTCTTATGGAAAGATGACATCAGCGAATTTCATAGAGTTGTGGGGAAACCACGGTTTGAAAACAAATTTCCTTAAAAAAAAAGTGGAAGAACATTTAGTGGTGCAGTGACAGTGTGGTTCAGCCATGCCCTCAGCAGCACCTCCACCCCACCAGTCACAACCCCCATGCCAGGGGCTGGGAGTGGGGCTAACGTAGAGATTTTATGCCAGCTCTCAGCAGCCAGGAAGGACTCCTGCACAGAAGGGCTAATCACAGGGCCATTTCTACCCATTTTAAAGCCCCTTTATACTGCCAGATTGGCACAAAGAGGCTTTAGAATTGGGCCCAAGGTTTCCAGGACAGGCCGACCGTGATAGCAAACCCTCAAACCAAAGAAGCAACAAAGGTCCATAAGCAGGTTATTTTATTATTTACACATTACAGTGAACCTGCAGAGCTAACTCACACACATAACACGCGAGGGCTCTGCAAATCACTCCCCTCCTCCCGCATGGTGTGCTTTCCCTAAGAAATAACTGCTCTCTGAACCTGGCATCTGGCCCTTTAAATCTGGGAGAGATACCCAGCTACAAGCCTAGGGTGGCCTTTGAATTCAGGAGTTGTGGATTTTGTCCTATCCTGCTTCCCCTTCCAGGTTGTGTATGTAGTTGTGATGAAGAATGGCGGCTGAAGCACCTGCCCCACAGCAAAGCCGGCTGTATGATAAACATCGTTGATTGGAGAGGTGACTGTTTCACAGAGATGAAGTGGAGGGCTCTCCCCAACTCACCTGCCAGCAAAACAAATATACATTGAGTGCCAATCCCATGGGAAAACTCCAGTCAACGTCAATGGGATCAGGACTGGGGCCTCATTCAGGAATAGTGCAGAGTCTGCAAAATTCAGCCAGCCTCCACTGAAGTGACATCACGTGTAGGAAAATAACTAAACAAGAGTAGACAAAGCCCGCTCCCTTCCCCCACCCATGCACAGGTAAGCCATAAAGCAGCAGTCAATATAGGCTGCTCTAAATAAACCAGAAATGTCCACTCCCAGACAAAGGTTGTGGCGTCTCGTGTTGGGACTGGAGCAGGGAGGCTTTTCCATATATAAGGCTCCACTTTTCCCTCCAGAGAAAGCTTCTGGATTCTTTCCCAGTAGAGGTAATGGAGCCAGAGGAAATTCCATTCAGTGCTAACTCTTCGTTGGGTATGGCCCATCTGCACTGACAATATTTCCACCCAGGTTTTGATTTGCAAGCCTCCCCACTTGGATAATTACCTGAATTTGTGTCAAAGCCAACACCTTCCCTGCCCATTCCATAGTGAGTGATGCATGGAGCTTGCAAAGAAGCAAAGGGAAGGGAACGTGGAGGTGCACAAGAAAGGAGGAGTTCTGTGCTGGGTTCTAGGAGACCTGGGATTCCCCCTTGATTTGGATGAAATTGAATCTCACTAAGACTCCCAATGGCGTTCTCAGATGGATTAAAACAAGCATGTGTCACTCAGGGGACAAGGCATCTCAGGAGCTACAACAGGCCCAGATGGATGCGAATATTTGGATGCTGGTATTGGAACAGAATAGAGGATCTCTTACCATCTTGGTGCTGGTAGTGACAGCGGACATGGACAGAGTAAAATTTTGAGTAGTGGGGCTGGTTTTTCTTGTGCCTTTAATCCATCTCCTGTACTCCTCTCTCACCTGGAGAATAAGGGACATGGTCACTACATCATGTAACTAACACCCTCAGACCAGGCCACTGCTAGGCCCGTGAAGTCACTGGGTGGCGGATGATGTACCATGGGCATTACCTGGCGATTGAGGAGACAGTGCACCAGGAAGATGAAGGCTCCCTGCAGGCTGTTGACAATGGTGAATAAATACGCCATGACCATTTTTGCTGAGCCAACTTGGAAGAGACCAAGACTCCACGTGCAGCTCAGAATGAATAGCTGGGCGATAGCTTTAAAAGTCAGTAGTCTGGATAAAGGCAGATGGAGAGATCCCGTTATAACAACCCTATGGTGAGTGACTGAGTCAGGGGGCTCAGGGCAGTGTGGGGCAAAACAGCTGACACCCGCTTTACTGTGTCTTAGGGTTATTGTCAAGACAAACACAATGGCAACTTACACCTATGAATCTGAATAACAATATTGTGCCCAACCATCTTCCCCCCACACACACCTTCCCCTCCTATAGGTGGCTCTTCCAAAGCAAATAGTTCAACCTCTCATTACAGTTTTGTTTTTAATCCCTTCACATGTTTTGTTTTTAATCCCTTCACATCAGGCCCTGGCAATGTGACAATCAAGTGGGAACAGGATATTGAGGTCTCAGGAACCCATCTATGTTGTTCCATAAATAGAGAGAGGGGTTGCTACAGAGCAACAAGTAAGCCACACTTTCCTTCCTCCTCAATGGATGGCACTTTACCTCGACAGTATCCACAGCCCCAGGGAAAAGAGATGAGTTTCCTCCCTAAGTAGCACATGGCCCAGCTCTGAATAGCAGCACAGACTTGCATTTCTCCTTCACAGCTCTAGGCACGTGCAGTAAGTAACACCATGGCTCTCTGAAGCCTCAACATTCTGATCTGGTTCCAAAATCTTTTCCCCTCTCATTCTCCATCCAGCACTCCCAGCTGGCAGCCCTGATCTTGTTCCTCCCGAACAAACAGATTTCATAATGACTTCCGCGGGCTTTGGAACAGACTGCAACTGTCATCTCAATATCCATCCAGGGACCAACATGATGCACATGGCAGAAAAGTATCTCCCATGAGGATCCTTTACTGCCATAGACTCTCCTCTCCTCTCTCCTAACCTGACCCTTCAATTGCCACCCTGGCTGTGCTGTGTCCGATACAGCATACCGTTATTCATACAAATTGTCCTTATTTTGGCAGATGGTCCCATGGACAACTTTAGGATTCACGAGTAAGGGACTGCTGATGTGAGTTAGGGTTTATCAGCTCCTTGGGGAGTGAGACTGTTACTCTCTCATCAAGCAGAAGGTCACCAAGATAACCTGGAAAGCCTACAGTGGTATGTGCTCAGCTGTATGGTAGCAGGAATATGTGCTGAATCCCACAGGAATTCCCATACAGGAGGCTCACTGGACCCTTCTAGTAGATTTAGTGCTGTCCTACCTGGTGTCTTTGAGAGTGGACACATCTTCATTAAGGGAGGAGAGTTTGTCTCTCAGGATCCAGAGGGTTACAAGAAAAAATGTTAAATTTATCTGTGGAAACAGCATGAAATATTCCTTGTAAAACATGCCAGCCAAGGCCAGTCTCTCTGGCTGAAGCATGGAACAGTCCCTATGGGATCAGACTGCTGCACACCAGTGACTGCTCGTCAAGGTGGGTCATACACCATTCCCTGCCAGATCTTGATCCCAGGCCATGCAGGGAACTGTTGGCATAGGCAGGGCTGCAATGCATCACATGTGATCCTACAGCCAGAGAGCCACATTCTGCTCTTATCTGAATCTGGAGTGACTCCACTGATTCGAATGGGGTCTGCAGTTATTCCAGATTTAGAGCCGTGTGATTTGGCCAAAGCTTCTAGATCCTGTCTATGCATCCGAAGAAGTGGGTTGTAGCCCACAAAAGCTTATGCTCTAAGAAATTTGTTAGTCTCTAAGGTGCCACAAGTACTCCTGTTCTTTTTGAGGATACAGACTAACACGGCTGCTACTCTGAAACCTGTCTATAGAGTATTCCCTTCAATTCTGAGGCTGAAATTAATTCTTAACCTGCTGCCTGAGATGGGGAGGAATCTGCAAGGACATTTGTTACCTTTATCTCTTGCAACACATGTACCCTTCCTGCAACACATGTACCCTTCCATCCTCAAACTCCCCACGCTGCAGCCACCTTCCCTTCCCCCATCACTTGGGTTATTTACCAGCCAGGCCGGACAAGGCAAGGGACAAAACTATCCTCATTCCGGCAGAGGTTCCACTTGCTTCCAAGGCAGCATTGTATGAGTAATGACATATTATAATTAATCATATGATGGTAGCACCTAGAGGCTCCAACTAAGATTGCACTGGGTTCTGTACTCACACCTAGAAAGGGGCAGCCCCCGTCCTGGAGCATATGTTAGCAAAATAACTAGGCAAGACCACAGGCGCTGACTTCCCCCGGGTCCCGGGGTGCTCAACCCCCAGCCCCACCCCCACCCGACACTTTGTCCCAAGCCCCCACCCCACCTCTTTCCACCTCCACTTGGCCCCAAGCCCCACCCCCACCCCTTCTCCAAGCCCCCGACTCTTCTCACCCCTGACCCAACTCTTCCCACCCAGTTCCGCCCCCTCTCCCTCAGCGCCTCCTGCACACCACAGAACAGCTGATTGCGGCAGGTGGGATGGAGGGGAAGGAGTTGATCAGTGGGGCCGCTGGCAGGTGGGAGGCACGGGGTGGGTAGTGGGGGAGCTGGCTGCCAGTGAGCATCCACTATTTTTCTTCAGTGCCTATGGGCAAGACAGACAAAGGGTGGGAGGAGAAACAGAGGTACAGCGAGGGGAAGCTACTTCCCAAGTTAACACAGCAGGCCAGTGGCAGAGTCAGGTCTCCTGACTCACAACCCAGGGCCCGACCCATTCACCCTGACTGACTCCATAGAATGTAGGCTATTGTGTTAGGGGGAAATCCTGCACTGGCCAAAGAGGGGTGGATGAAATGGGATCTTATAGGATTCTTTCATCTTAAATTCTCTGGGAGATATTCTTCTCTTGGCTCCACTGGAGTCCACAGGGTTGCAGAGGTGAGAGGAGAATGGGGCCCTGTGGTTCTGGGAGGTACCCACCAGGATTATGGCACAGACTGGTCCCAGGAAGCTCCAATGAAATCCTCTCTCCAGGCTGAGCCAGCAGCTACAGGGAGGGAGGAAGAAGGTGACTTTAATGGTATTACTGCCCTTTTTCAGCCCCGGGGGCAGAGAGTGAGTGTCACAGGGCAGCTGGCTCTCAAAAGCGAGATGGATCTCAGCCTGCCTGTGACATGGCCAACTCTCTTGCAGGCAGCAGGCAAACAGCCCTTCCCATCTACTTCAGCATCTGCTGCTTTCAGCCACCACTTCCTCTTCCACCTCCTCAAATGACCCTTTCTGGTGGATGGGCGCAGTATTGCTGGAGGGCCAGACATGCAGCGGATGGACATTGGCCTCGCTGCACTGAAGGAAGTGGAGCTACCCTGATTTACACCAGCTGAGGATCTAGCCTGGGGTGTCTAGAACACGCCACACCCTGTTTTGATGGAGTCACTCACTTTAGAGAGGGGATCCACAGGGATTTGCACACAGTAAGAAGATGCATTTGTTTCCTACCCACCAGCCCCACAAACCCAGCCTGGGACCTGGGAGTCAAGTTGGGATCTTTCTGGCATGTTCTTCTGCATCATCAGTGGGGTGAGGGGTATAGATGTCTGACAGGTGGGCAACTCAACTGCAGCGCTTGGGGCAGCTTAGTGTCCCTGGGGATGGGAAGGGTTCCAGGGGGACATTCAGCTCCCAGGCAGGGTGAGCGGGAAATCTAGGTTCAAGTCAGACCTGGGGTGAGCTGGACAACCGCATGGAAGCCATATCCCAGCTCCCCTTTGGGATGGGCGCTGCACGTACTGTTTGGAAGTTCCGTAGCCTTCAGGATTCACCGCTGCTGAAATAGCCACCACCAAGGCTGGGAATCCATAGCTGAATGGGTATATGAATCTCTTCTTGAACCGGCTGGCGCTGGTGTAATTCACAACCTTCAGGTTCCTGACAGTGAGGAAGAGGTGCAGCCCCTCCAGGAACATCCAGGTGAAGCAGGCCAGGAAGAGGTAGTGTAGGAAGCCAGCAATTACAGCACACACCACCTGAGGACAGGATGAGAGAGAGCTCTGGGACACTGCTTCTGGGAAGGGAAATATTGAATTTGGAGGTGGGAGGACTTTGGGGGGGATCACATAGGGCACATCTCTCCAGTTATGGAGCTCTCCCAGAGACAATACGTTCTTCAGTGTATGGGGGGCTTGTCTAAGGGCAAGCTGGCTGGCCCTTTCAATCATTCAGAGTCCAGCCCGGTCCTGATCTCCACTCAGAAAAGATGGTTTCTGGGGGTTGTAGTTCCCAAATAAATCATGGAAATTGTTGAATACTGTGAATCCTAGGAAAGGGAGCAGGGATATAAACAAGTTCCCAGTCCTCATAATAGGGAGAGACCTGGAGGGTGTAGGTTCTCTTCTCTATATCTGCTTCAGGGTATAGGTTTCTTGCATGTGCCCATCAGTCTGGGGGCAGAGAGGTCAGGCAGGGCACTGTGATTCTGGAAATCGGGGTTCCTTTGTCTGAATGATGAAGGAAGGAGCCCACAAGGAAAAGGGAAGGACTGGTTTCACCCATAGAGATTTCTTTTGGAGGGGAGTAAATAATTATTTCTGTGGGACTAAAGAGCATGGAATAAATGTTACCATCCAGCTGAGGGTATAAAAAGGTGTTGGGGTGAGGGCAGCTTTAGAAATGCTGACAGAAGATCTGTACACAGCTCAATTTTAAACCAAGAATAAAAGTGGATAACAGACCCGACTGCTGGTGCGGGTCACTGCGGTGAGGAAGAGCAGGTCGGCCAGGAAGAGGCAGAGGCAGAGCTGCAGGTGAAGGGAGGTGCTGACGTTGCGGATAGAGCGGCACAGGAGGAAGGTGAGAATGGCGAGGAGGAGACACAGCAGAGAAAGGGTCAGTCCCATGTAGGTGATGATGCTCAGTGGGTCACTCTCCTGTAACACAGCAAAGGGAGAATCACTAGTGAATCCTGTGACGCCATATGGGAAATAAAGGGAAGTAAGGAGAACCTGTGGAATTACAGACCAGTCAGTTTAGCTTCCGTATCCAGAAAGATAATGGAGCAAATAATTAACCAATCAATTTGCAAACACCTACAAGATAATAAGGTGATAAATAACAGTCAGCATGGATTTGTCAAGAACCAATCGTGTCAAACCAACCTGATAGCTTTCTTTGACAGGGTAACAAGCCTTATGGATGGGCGGGGGGAAGCGGTAGATGTGGTATATCTTGACTATAGTAAGGCTTTTAATACTGTCTCGCATGACCAGTCAGCCTCACTTCAGTCCCCGGAAAAATCATGGAGCAGTCCTCAAGGAATCCATTTTGAAACACTTGGAGGAGAGGAAGGTGATCAGGAACAGTCAACATGGATTCACCAAGGGCAAGTCATGCCTGACCAACCTGATTGACTTCTATGATGAGATAACTGGTTTTGTGGATATGGGGAAAGTGGTGAATGTGATATATCTTGACTTTAGCAAAGCTTTTGATACAGTCTCCCACAGTATTCTTGCCAGCAAGTTAAAGAAGTATGGATTGGATGAATAGCCTATAAGATGGATAGAAAGCTGGCTAGATTGTTGGGCTCAACGGGTAGTGATCAAAGGCTCGATGTCTAGTTGGCAGCCAGTATCAAACAGAGTTTTTTCAACATCTTTTTGTTTAACATCTTTAGTAATGATCTGGATGATGGAATGAATTGCACCCTCAGCAACTTTGCAGATGACTCTAAACTGAGGGAAGAGGCAAATACCCTGGAGGGTAGGGATAGGGTCCAGAGTGACCTAGACAAATTGGAGGATTGGGCCAAAAGAAATCTGATGAGGTTCAACAAGGACAAGTGCAGAGTCCTGCACTAAGAAAGGAAGAATCCCATGCACTGCTACAGGCTGGGGACTGACGGGCTAAGCAGCAGTTCTGCAGAAAAGAACCTGGGGATTACAGTGGAGGAGAAGCTGGATATGAGTCAGCAGTTTGCCCTTGTTGCCAAGAAGGCTAACAACATATTGGGCTGCATTAGTAGGAGCATTGCCAGCAGATCAAGGGAAGTGATTATTCCCCTCTATTCGGCACTGGTGAGACCACATCTGGAGTATTGTGTCTAGTTTTGGTCCCCCCACTACAGAAGGGATGTGGACAAATTGGAGAGAGTCCAGCAGAGGCAACGAAAATGATTAGCAGGCTGGGGCACATGACTTACGAGGAGAGGCTGAGGGAACTGGGATTATTTAGTCCGCAGAAGAGAAGAATGAGGGGGGATTTGATAACAATCTTCAACTACCTGAAAGGGGGTTCCAAAGAGGATGGAGGTAGGCTGTTCTCAGTGGTGGCAGATGACAGAACAAGAAGCAATGGTCTCAAGTTGCAGTGGGGGAGGTCTAAGTTGGATATTAGGAAACACTATTTCACTAGAAGAGTGGTGAAGCACTGGAATGGGTTACCTAGGAAGGTGGTGGAATCTCCATCCATAGAGATTTTTAAGGCCTGGCTTGACAAAGCCCTGGCTGGGACAATTTAGTTGGTGTTGGTCTCGCTTTGAGCAGGGGATTGGACTAGATGTCTCCTGAGGTCTCTTCCAACCCTAATATTCTATGATTCTATGATTCTATGACTGTCTCATAAATAATACGGTGGGTGCATAACTGGTTGGAAAATCATTCCCAGAGAGTAGTTATCAGTGGTTCAAAGTCATGCTGGAAGGGCATAACGAGTGGGGTCCCACAGGGGTTGGTTCTGGGTCCATTTCTGTTTAATATCTTCATGAATGATTTAGATAATGGCATAGAGAGTACACTTATAAAGTTTTCAGATGATACCAAGCTGGAAGGGGTGGAAAGTGCTTTGGAGGATAGGATAGGATTAAAATTCAAAATGATCTGGACAAACTGGAGAAATTGTTTGAAGTAAATAGGATGAAATTCAATAAAGACAAATGCAAAGTACTCCACTTAGGAAGAAACAATCAGTTGCACACATACACAATGGGAAATGACTACCTAGGAAGGAGTACTGTGGAAAGGGAGCTGGGGGTCATAGTGGATCCAGGGCCATCCTTAGGATTTATGGGGCCCTACGCAGTATTATTAAACTGGTGTCCCATGCCTAATGGTAGCCCGGGCTCACAGCCCGTGAGGGGTGGGGGGTAGGAGGGAGGGTGGAGGGACGAGGTAGCAAAGGGTACCGAGACGCCCGGCCCACCTCATGGTGGCAGAGTCACAATTCCTCGCAGAGACCCCCATGCCCTCTCCCTCATGCAGAATGTGTGGTGCTGGCCCGTGCCTAACGAGATTGCAGCGTGCACTGGGTGTGCGGGAGCTGACCCGCTCTTACCTGCTGTCATGGGCGGTGCGTGAAGCTGCCACTTGGGGAGCCTAGCTCCCCAGCTCACCTCATCTGCCTGTGGCCCTGCCCATACTCCACCCCTGCTCTGCCCAGGCTCCGCCCCTACTCTCCCCAGGCCCCGCCCCTCCCTACTGTCTCCTTCCTCTCTTCCCTCCCCCTCCCTGCTCACCCCCTTCCAGCCAAATCCCTGAACCCTAATGAAGCAAATTACATTAGAAAGTAATTGCAGAAGAGTGGGTTTTTTTTCAAAAGAAAATGGAGCATGTTTTCCACTGAATGCCAGAAGGTGAAGACTGGACATGCAGATGGTACCTAATTAAAAGCACTACATTTAGGAATAAAAAATGTCAGTCACGGGTATTTTGATATGCCCTAAAGTTTGTCAGAGATTTATTTCCAAAGTTTTTGGAGTAAGGGCAAGTCAGCTGTCCTGCTGAATACAACATTAAATATTATGGAATACGTGATGCAGCTCTTCTCTGTTTTACATTTTCTTAACCAGTATTTCTAAGCTGATTTTATATTTTAAATATACTCTTAAGCCTTCATAAAGCAACCATTCCAGATTACTACATATTTAACTCACTGAAACAAAGACATTCGTTTAAATTAATCAGTCACAGAGGTTTAGTGTGTTCATAACAATGTTCATTGCTTTTAGAAAAAGGGAACACTAATTTACTTTGTGTGATCTCCATAACAACAGACATGTTTATGAAATTTCACCAACTTTAAAAAATAAGTTTTCAAAGATTTTAGGCATAACAAAGGATTTTATATCTTACTAAGGTACTGATTTTGCTGGAGGGTTCTCTTAAAACTAGTTCATCAAATAGTCAGAAGTAAAGAAAGGGAAACTCGTCTGTCTGGAAGGAAAGGGATGTTGTCCCTTTAAGGGCTAGCCTCTCTTCAATGGGGGGTGGGAGGAGGGAGGGTGAAGGGAGAAAGGGATGGACAGAAAGGACCGGAAGACTTGGGAAGCAAGTTTTTTGTACTATAGTAATTAAAATTAAAATGTGTATTTTAGATAAGAGTGGTCTTTTGAAGGATTTATTTAAAAAACTATACGTCTGAAGATCCAAGCATTTAAGGCTAAAGATGAATACTCAGATTGTGGATCTAAAAATCTATGCAAGGATTTTTTAGAGATGTGATTTTATAATCTTCAGCAACTTTCTAATGAAATATTTTTAAAGCAAATTTTAAACGAAGGTTCTGTAGACTAACATGTTCTGAGTAAATATTACAGTAATGCACAACGGTTTTTGTCAGTAAACTCAGAAACTGAGAGTATATACCTGGGGGTTGGCAAATGCCTGTTAAATGGTTTCTTTACCACTTGAATGGCTCTTTGAATGGCTGGAGGCTTTTTTTACTTTTAAGTTCTGCTCCGGAGTAAGAGTCACCAGGCTGCAGCAGCCAGCTGTGGGAGCCTGCAGGAAAGGTCAGCACAGGCATAGGAAGAAGTGGAAGGGTGGACACTAAGACCCTGGGGTGCCCCAAATTTTTGGGTGCCCTACACAGCCACGTTTGCTGCTGCGTATGCCTAAGGACAGCCCTGAGTGGATCACAAGCTAAATATGAGTCAACAGTATAACGCAGTTGCAAAAAAGCAAACATCATTCTGGTACGTATTAGCATGAGTATTGTAAGCAAGACATGAGAAGTAATTTTTCTGCTCTACTCCACACTGATTAGGCCTCAACTGGAAAATTGTGTCCAGTTCTGGGCGCCACATTTCAGGAAAGATGTGGACAAATTGGAGAAAGTCCAGAGAAGAGCAACAAAATGATTAAAGACCTAGAAAACATGAGCTATGAGGGAAGATTGAAAAAATTGGTTTGTTTAGTCTGGAGAAGAGAAGACTGAGTGGGGACATGATAACAGTTCTCAAATACATAAAATGTTCTTACAAGAAGGAGGAAGAAAAATTGTTCTTCTTAACCTCTGAGGATAGGACAAGAAGCAATGGGCTAAAATTGCAGCAAGGGCGGTTTAGGTTGGACATTAGGAAAAACTTCCTAACTGTCAGGGTGGTTAAACACTGGAATAAATTGCCTAGGGAGGTTGTGGAATCACCATCATTGGGGATTTTTAAGAGCAGGTTGGACAAACACCTGTCAGGGATGGTCTAGATAATACTTAGTCCTGCCTTGAGTGCAGAGGACTGGACTAGATGACTTCGAGGTCCCTTCCAGTTCTATGATTCTATGGAATATGGGTGACCATTTATAATATTATGGATACCAATATTACAAAACTGCAGTGAATCTTCAAGATATGCCAGGTTCTTAAAAAGAAGGCTTTTAATTAAAGAAAGAAAGGTGAAAGGAAAATCTCTGGGAGAGCGCATACAAGCATCTCTCACAGACAACAGATTCAAAACACAGAGGATGTTCCCCTGGGCAAAACCTTAGTTACACAAAAGAAATCCCAATTTGATTATCCCTCTAATGCACAAGACAAGTCACAAAAGAAAATAAACATAAACCTATTTATTTCTTCTCTAATACTCACACAATAAGAGGCTGATTTTGGGATCTTTTTTCTCTCCGGCACAAAACTTGATGAACACTGAAACAAAGGAAAACTTCCCTCCTTCCTCTTGAAAAATCTTGTCCCCCCATTGGTTCCTCAGGTCAGGTGTCAGCTAGGCTAGGTGAGCTTCTTAACCCTTTACAGGTAAAAGAGGCCTTAACCCTTAACTGTCTATTTATGACATAAGGTATCGGTTGAAAAGTTATGATTTGCTAAGTATGATAATCTTGTTTTTATGTATGTATCATCTTTGCATTGTGACTTATAAATATGTGTGATATATCTGTGCTGTGTTCCTGGGTGACACCCCCATACAGATTATCATCAGCACTATCCAGTCTGTTTGTGGCCCATCAAGGGTAATCAGCTATACCAGCGTTTATCAAACTGGGGTCCATGAGGGCATCCCAGAGGGTCTGAAGGCCCCACCGACCAAGTCCCCCACCTCCCTCCCAGTGTCTTCTGCACACTGGGGAACAGCTGCTCAGCAATATGCAGGAGGCGCTGGGAGGGGGAGAAGCAGGGATGGGGTGCACTCGGCGGACGGGGTGGAAAGGCGCAGGGAAGAGGAGAAGCAGGGGTGGAGCGGGGGCGGGAAGAGGTGGGGTGCAGCCTTGGGGGAATGAATGGAATGGGGGTGGGGTCTGGGCTGAGTGGGTGCTTGGGGCTCTGTGAAAAATTTAAAATCAAAACGGGGATCCTTGGGTTGCTAAAGTTTGAGAACCGCTGAGCTCTATAGTGAACCCATTCAGAGAAGCCAGGGGCTATGCCCATGAGTCAGCAGGACATGTAGGGACATGCCTATAGACAGGGGACTCTAAGTACCTTTCCATGCCCATATGCTGTGAGCTTGTGTATGGGACAGAGGAAGTACAATCCACGTGGAAAAGGATAGAAAAAGGCAGCTGCATCACCTCCATTTTGTCTTCAGTCCTGCTTCTCACCTCTGGAGTAACTTCTCTACAAATGGAAGCTTTGAACAAAGGTCTGATAGACCCCTCTAAGATTTGGGTGTGTTCCAGAGGGACTTTATAAGCCAGCAATGCTGCTAAGAACCTGATATATGGACCTTGAAGTCATATGTATCGGATTGCTTTGATCATTTAACAACTCTCTTCTCTTTCTTTTCTTTTCATTTATAATAAAACCTTTAGTTTTAGATACTAAAGGATTGGCTGGTAGCGTGGTATTTTGGGTAAGATCCAAACTAATATTGCCCTGGCAATGTGGCTGCCCCTTTGGGGATCAGAGGAACATTTTGTTAAGTGAATAGAGTTTTAAGTAACTTCTCACTTTACTAGACCTATCTGCTGATTGGGAGCCAGAGACTGGAATGCAATAAAGGGCGGGGGGGGGGGGGAGTGATTTCTTTTTTTCAGCTTCTTGATAGCCAGTGTGGGGGATCCAGAGCACAGATTGTGACTGGTTGGTGATTCTAACTACAGTGTTCACCACCATTTCTGGGGGAATCTTTTTGCAGCCTGCCCTGGCCTTGGCATTGTCAGTGTGGGCTACTCTAGGCACCTCAGATCACAACCCCAGCCCAGCCCCTTTGACCCTGACCCATCCTGTATGGCCACAGATTATACACTGAGGTTCCTAGGCAGTGTTCATACAGGCAAAATTCCCTCTGATTTTGCCCAAGTCAGGAGCTCAGAGTCCAGCCCTTTGAGCTGAGTTTGACAGTGAGATACCTCCACTCCGGTGTGACCCATAAGGAGTGCGAAGCTGGAGAGATGGTTACAGCTACAAATGGTGTGAGTGCTGTTCGTGTGCACAGCGGTGCAGCCATCTGGAGACCAGGTGCCTTTCCCAGTGATGAATTTCCAGTGAATGCAGTGAGCCTCTTCCTCCTCTTTCTTTGCCTGGAAACAAAAACACCCCATCATCATCATCCTCACTGGATCATGGGGAGAACACTGTTTCTTTTGTCACACATCTCTAATAGACAGTAATAAACCTGAAGTCACCAACGGCTTCATGGCTCTCATTGTGCAGCACGTAGCAGCCATTTGGGACTTCCCATTGGCAGTGGAAATACAAGTGAGATTCTCCAGCTTCAATAGCACAAGGCCCTGACCACAGAGCTAAAGTGGTAATTCCCTTAACTCTGAGCACTGTAGGGTCTATGACACACTATTGTGCAGTTCTGATTTGAGTCATTAAAAGGCATTCACACACCCGCCCACAAATACCCACATGCACTCTAGCAAGTTCATTACTTCATCAAAGAAGGCACCATCTCAAGCTGTTTCCCTGAACTCTGCTATCTATAGGGCTGTGGGGTGCGCCCCCCTAGGGGGACATAGAGGAACCTTCAGAGGGACAATTCCCAGGTCAGCCCCCATTGGGGGCAGAGAGGGAGCACCACCCAGCCCTTCCCCACCCTGAGTTCTGCTCTGGTCCCACCTGTAGCCACATCCCCTACTTCCAGCTCCATGCGTGGCACCGTCCCCAACCTCAGCATGGCTCCACTCCCAGCCCCAGCCCCTTATGGCTCAATTCCCGGCCCAGGACTGAGGCTGGGGGCAGGGGAAGGGCTGGGAGTGGAGCCGCACCTGGCCATGGGCTTGGCTGCTGGCTCCCACCGCAACCTGGCTGCTGCTCCACTCCCACCCCCAGCCTCAGCCCACAGCCATGGCTCTGTCCCTGCTCATGGCCCCAGAACCAACCCAGCTGCGGCCCCAGCCTCAGCCCCCTTACCCCATCCATATCCTTTCCCCCTACCCCCAAGCTGCAGCCCCGCTCCCATCCCTGGCTCAGATGGAGGGGCGTGAACAGTGTTAAGGGGGGGAGGCAATCCTCAAAAGTTTGGGGACCACTTCTATAGGGAGTTGTTTTCCAATTACTCCTGCTCTAAGGCATGAGTCAGGGACAGTTGTTACTCCTGAGCGTTTTACATGATGAATCATAACACAATCAGGCCTGGTGTGAACCCTATGTAATGTCCAAAAAAGCCCCCGTGTCAGGACTGAAGCAGCTCCCTCTCTTTCTCAGATAACTGTTTCTCAGTCCAGAAAGGCAACACAACTCAAATGCTCTGCAGGAGATGTACCTTTTAAGTGACCAGCTGGAGCCCCGGGCACAGAGCAAAGTAAAAGGATCGACACTCACCTGTCTATGGCTCAGGGTGACGTTCACAGGTTTGGAGAGGTTCATGGGCCTCCCATCTCCGACAGCCCCACTCACCACCCTGGAATTCAGGTGAAAATTCCTCAATTTCTCATCAGCCATTAGATCTCCCTCGTTGAGAAATCTCTTGTTAATGATGGAGTCCAGTGTGGAATAAGAAATAAAAGCAACAGCCCAAGAATCTGAAAACATGAAATGATGCCTCATCATAGAGACAGGGACACTGAGACAAAGAAAGAGCAAGCCAGGTGCCAAAGGTCACAACGAGTCTGGGTTAGAGCTGGGAAAAAAGAACCCAAGAGTTCTGTCTAGCATTTTGAGCTTTAACCACTAGAGTATGTTGCCTCCTCCCTCTTCTTCCACAGAAGTGCTTCTGTGTTGGAAACATCTGGCGTGCACTATGGGAGTGTGATTCCTAAAGTTCAGTAACGTACATTAAAGCACACTAGGAAACCTTTAGTGCACACTAGTAGGGTCTATAAAGACCAATTAATGCACAGTACGTTAGTGCTCTTTAGAAATCATACCCCCATACTGCACATTATCCAGCTAGGTAGACAGCCCTAGGTAAAAGGCACTAAGTTGAAGCCATAGTTTTCTTGGTTAGGAGAGGCAGAGGGGTTGGTTAGTGAGGAGCTTTCCCTGGTGCTAAAGAATTAAGAACCAGTTCCAGTTTGGTCATACTTGCCTAAAATCGGAGTAAAACTGGTAAATATCATCCTGGTTCCATTCCAGGATGTCACACACGTCAACCTGGGGCCTAGCTGGGCTCATCATCAGGACATCATGTGTTGAGTCTATGGATCTTTGATCTTTCCATTCTCTGGACCAATTCATATCCCATCAAAGCTTCTCTCTCCTCCCTACCCCTCCCATTGCTCGGTTTTTATGCTGCAGGACAACCAGGAATGAAGGGCTCTGCAGAGCTCAATGGCCTGAGAAACACTGGCTCAGCCAACAAGGTCCACACCAGTGTCAGGATAACAGAGGCAAGCAAGCCAGCCTGGGGTGACAGGAAGGGGAGAACTAGTGCTGGGGTTTGATGTCTAGTTAAAGGGCTGAGTGCCTGGGAAGCACTAGGATGGTACCTTCTGTGGCTGCTCTGGTGACCGTATCACAGTGAATGTCCATTGTCTCCTCCTGAGCTCTCAGCCTGAAGACCTCATCACAGGGACCTGCAGTCGGGACAACGAGGAGCGTCTCGATAGCTGGGGAGGGAAATGGCAAAGCCTCTTGCTGTAAGGGCAAGGCAGGTTTGGAGCTCCACTCTCTCAGAATCCCCACCCCCTTTCTCCTCACCTCCATTTCTCTGTGTTTCCCTGAGCCCCTCTGGCTGACCTTCTATGATCCATCATCCCTGCGTCCCCATGAAGATGCCACTGTGCCAAGACGCAGAAGGCAACTTCTCCCTGCTGCCTCACCTCTGCGCTTTAGCAGGGGAAGCAACAAGAAGGTGTTTTGCTGGGGCAGGGAGTGAAAGGAGGACACAATGGCAGCTGTCTGTGGTGACAGGAGATTGGCATTGCTTTTAAAACCCTCTCAGGCAGCTGCCAAATTGCTGCAAAGCCCCTGGGCTGGGTTTATGGGTAGTGGGTAGCATAGGCTGGGGAAGGCTGTGCCTCCCCAAACAGCCTGGCATGGCCCCGCCCATGCTCCGCCCCCTGGTCCCATCCTGCCTGCTTCCAATTCCCTTCCCACTCTTCCACGGCTTAGAGGCTGAGGCAGGCAGGCTGGGGCCAGCGCTCACAAGGCCCAGGGCTGGGGGCGCTGGAGTTGCGGATGCTCCGGCTGCCCGGTGCTCCAGGGCTGGGGTAGCGCGGGGCGGAGGGGACGGGTTGCTCTGGGCTCCAGCGGAGAAGGGGGGTGGAAGTGGAGAGTCGGGGCCTTGGGCAGAGAGGGAGGGGCTGGGGGCTAGCCTCTCTCAATGTCTCTTTCACCTGCCGCCCATAGCTTGGTTATAAACCCTGAGAGAAGATGCAGTGGTGTTCTTTACTGAATAGAGTATAACCCCCATCTCACAGCCTCCACGAGGCGATGTGGGAGCCTCCCATCCTCCTCACCCATAGACTCTGTTGTCACGTTCTGGGTCTTCGTCTCCGGAGACTTCAAAGCAGCCGTCAGTGCAGCCAATTCCACACTCTGCAGGAGGAACATCACGGCAGAGGCCACCTCCCTCTCGCTCCCATTCCCACCAGCACTGAGGGTGGAGCTATTCAAGAAGGAACCAAAGGGGCCAGCAACTTCCTGGGATTGGGAAAGGAAACACCCGGAGAAGGAGGGAGGATTTCAGTGGTTCATGAGTCACATTCTTCAGACTACCAGGGGAACAATGACCCTCTTAGGGACATACGGGTTCATAGTGACCTTCCCCACTCAGTGGAACTGCAACATTCTCAAAGAGGGAGCCCTTTACAGAGCGAGTGAGGCTACTGAGGCTTGCTCAGGACTCCACAGTAAGCTGAAGCCAGGGTAGGGCTAACGCCCTGTGTCATTCCCTCCTCATCCCTGGTCCCTTCAGTGTACGTGCCAGAGAACATTGCAACAAATCAGCAGGCATTTAGGTTCTCTCTGTGTTGCCCCTGCAAGCAATCTGGATCTTCCTAGGACCAGTGGGGACAGAACCCAGATCCCCTGCCACTTAAACTAGAGAGCATGCACATGCGCACACACACCCCTTTTCTGAAGAGCAGCTACAATTCCCCCGCAAAGTCAGACTGCTATTCCAGTGCTCAGGGCATTTGGCCATAGAGCGCCCACACACGTAGGGATAGAAGCTCTGACCTTCAGCGATACTGCTCTGTCCTGGGCACACATGGTCTCCAAATTCACTAAGGTTGAATTCATGAAGGAGCAAAATTCACTGTTGCTGCCCTGCAGAACAATCAGAGGAAATGGGTTATTTCTGCAAGCATGGAAACACCATCCAAAATTAGGGTTAATGCTTCCGCAGAGCGATGTTGCTTTGACCTATGGCTGGCTGGCTGTCCCAGTGGAATGCTACCAATTATAACATGTTAAGGCTAAGTGTGGTGAAGCCCACAGAGACGCTGAAATTTCACATAGCATTGAAGCTTTCATTCATATTAATGAATGTCTCCTTCCCTTCCTCACAGGGATTTGTAAAGATTATTATCCTCCTTCTACATGTGGGGAACCGATGCACAGAGAGACTGAGAAAATTGCCCAAAGTCACACAGTGAGTCTGGGGCAGAGATGGGAACCAAACTCTAACTTCATGTATCTCTGGCTGGTGCCTTAACTGCAGAACTCTGATATACTGTGGGGGTGTCACACACCATGATAGGGTTGAGTTTTCAAAAGCACTTGGTGTTGGACTGATTCTGCTCCCACTGAAGTCAGTGGTAAACCCTGGATAGACAGAGAATCCTCAGGCTCAAAGTTTTCTATGTACTCTTTGTGAAAACCCTCAAAAACCCAAATAAACCCCTTCCACGTACCTGCAGAAAGACATCTTTGCACATCTCCAACTGCTCTTGTATCTGAGGAGTCTCAGTCTGGCATTTAAAGGTAACATCTAGCAACAGAAAGAGAGGCAGGACAATTACATCAGGTCAACATCTGCAGGGCTAAGGTTTTCAAAAGTGTCTCGTGATTTGAGACATCTTAAAAGAGCCCTGACTTTCAAAAGTGCTGAGCACTCACCCTCTGAAAATCAGGCCCCTTTAAGGTCTCAGGTTAGGCAACCAAAATCACAAGGCAATTTTGAAAACCTTGGCCTAAGTGACACACCTAAGGCCACACACACAGGGACTCTAGGACAGAGCTGGGAATGGAAGCTTGATTACGTCAGTCCTAGCCTAGCATTTTAGCCACAAGGGCCATCCTTTCTTCCTACCAGAATACAAAGTTGATGATCTACCTAAACCCAGCAGGTGCTGTCTCCCTTTAACTCCATTGATCCCTTAAGCCCTGTCCATCTGACAACTTTCAACTGAGTCTCTAAACAGTCAGCAATACATTCGGCCCTAAAAGCCTGGTGTGTGTCCACACATCATCTGGTTAATATTCACTTAAGCTTTGTCTGTGTATCTCATTGATCAGTGTGTGTTATGTGTCCTCTAGGGGATGGTCCACCACGGGTCTGGTTCTGCTACAGCTCTAGCTATGGGAGTTCGTCCCTTAGCTCAAACAGTAGTAGGTCATGCAGTTACAAGGTCCTAGGTTTGATCCTTGGAGATAACCAACATGACTTGTTCTTACACCGAGACTCGAGAAGTTTCCCTTCCCCAGAAGTGTTCTAACCCTGCTATTGTACTTCTAAAAGGCCTGAGTCTCATCAAGGTATGTCTGCACTAGAAATGCTAAAGTGGCGCAGCTGCAGCTGTGCCACTGTATTGTAGACACTGACTACAGAGGTGGAAGGGTTCTTCCATTGCTGTGGTAAATCCACCTCTGAGAGCTGGTAGCTAGGACAAGAGAAGAATTCTTCTGTTGACCTAGTGCTGCCTACACTGAGGCTTAGGTTGGCTTATGGTTGACTGAAGTTTCAGGTATTGAGCAGGCCTCAGGCTACGTCTACACTACCCGCCTGAATCGGCGGATAGAAATCGATCCCCGAATCGACGCTTGTACTCCAGCAGCGGAGGTAGGAGTAAGCGTCGTTGACGGGGGAGCCGCGGAGGTCGATTTGCCGCTGTCCTCACAGTGGGGTAAGTCAGCTCCGATATGTTGAATTCAGCTACGCTATTTGCGTAGCTGAATTTGCGTATCTTAAATCGACCTCCCTCCCCGCCCCCCCCCCCCCGCGTAGTGAGGACGTAGCCTAAATTACACTAGAAGCCTTATGTTGCTCTGGCCTGGAAAAGGTGGTTAAAGTGGGTGTAAATGGCTCCTAAGAATGTTCCCTGTGGAGGGACACTCCACAGCTAGTGTGGAACTGGTAGAAGGGCCTTTACATGAACTTGGCTTCATATGCAAGGCAGATCAAGGATGTGGTCAGATTGCACCATGCTAAAGCTACTTCCTAGTTCTCAGGGGCATTGGGAAGCAGAGGGTAAATTACAGCAACCTTGCATGGTCCCAGAATGCATAGAGCACAAAGGTGGCTTAAAGCTACCTTTTCCTCCACCCTTTCTATTCCCTGCCACAAGCACAGGAGTGGCACAAGTAAAAACCAGGCACAAAATTCCCTTTGGTACCCAGAGGGCGTTACAACCAAGTGTCGGAGGAAAAGTGCAACAGTTCTTAACCAATTCAGAACAGCTGGCGAACATCTGCCTACAGGGCCGCCTAGAGGAGTCAGGGGGCCTGGGGCAAAGCGGGGGAGCTGCGGCACTTGTACTCACGCGGCGGCGGTCTGGATCTTCGGCGGCATTTCGGTGGCGGGGGGGCTTTCAGTCGCTCCGCGTCTTCGGCAGCACTGAACGGCCTCCCGCCGCCAAAATACCGCTGAAGACCCGGAGCGGGGCTCGGGGCCTGGGGCAAATTGCCCTACTTCTGGGAGTAGTAGTAGTAGTAGTTCCCCCCTCTGGGAGGCCCTGTCTGCCTAACTGCATGAGCTGGGCTGAAACTAGATCGATGCAGCTCACACCCCTGAGAGACTTAGTTAAGGCGTCCTGAGCCCAGTGTCGACACCACTAGGTTGACAGAAGAATTCTTCCGTCAACCTAGATTCCACCTCTCAGCAGGTGGATTAACTACAGTGATAGAAAAACCCCTTCCATCGCTGTACCAAGTGTCTACACTACAGTGCTACAGAGGCACAGCTGCAGCGCCGTAGCTGTGCTGCTGTCACTGCTGTAGTATGGACACAGCCGAAGTAACTGTGGCTAGTGGTGGCCTAGGATGCCGTGCTGGGCCAAATTCTCATCTGGTGTAACTCAATGGAGCTCCATCAAAATCAACAGACTTTACACCAGGCCCATGGTTGCCTCCCTGGTTGTGACACTGTTTTCTTTGCAGCATGGACACAAACTGTGGTCAAAATCGATTTAAAACCCATGCTACTCACTCTTCCTGCAGGAACCCGGAATCCCATAGCTGTCCATGGCGGCAGTGCCAACACTCAGGAGCGCAAATGGAGAGCTGGGATGTTCCACAGCATGGGATCTGATGGCAGATGCAAGCGTATGCATGCTCCAAACGAACTCAGTGCCAGCGACTCGGTTCCACACCACATCCCTTACAGGCTGATTGTCTAGGATGATGGCGCCAGTCTCTGATGTATTGGCCACCATCAAGGCAAAGTTCTCGAAGCCCTCCTGGGCATTTATAGAATACATCCGGCAGTAACTGGCAACATCTGGAACATTCATCAGGAAGGCGTGGGAGGAATTAGGGAGAGCTGCGCCCACGCTGTAGAACACCACCTGGATGCCCACATTAGCAGAGATGTAGACTGGGATCC